TCATCATTACACCATAGATATTATCGTTATAGATATTAGGTTGTTTTTATAATATTCGATTCTTTCTCCTTCGGGAAGCTACATCATACGCATGACTTTTGCTTTAATTTACACGGATTAAGTCGCAGGGAACCTATTAGTACTATAGTTCATACATTACACAAAAAAACATCTTTAGTCTTATAGAATGTCAAAAATAACAACCAAATAGAGTATTTATTAGCACCAATTATTTATTATGGCGAAATTCGACAACTGGTGACCTACACAAAGCTTTACTTTAATTTCAATCAGCTCGATGTGCAGTTACGTTAGCAGGAATTGTAATTCCGGAAGGACTTGACTTCATTAAATCAAAGCTCCGTAATTACAAGTATATGTTATTCAAAATTCTGCACGAATAAAAAGAAAGTATGTTCCATTCATTATTTACAGAAAAGTTTGTGAAGCGCTATCGAGAATCAAGCGACGAACGATAGCGTATGATGTTGGCACAATTGAAAATTTATGGTGTAGTCAACATTTTGGCAACAAGTTTGACAGATAGGTAGTCGCGAATATTATAAATGAGGTAGAATATCGACTAGAAATATTCAATAGGTAATTGTTATCGAGATAACTGACGAATTATTTATTGTCATAATATAGGTACTTAATACTTTTCGACCCACCACCGTCTACTCTAAACATTTCTAGTCCCAGTAAAACCTTCGCCCTGATCTCTGTTTTATATCACGCCTGTAAGAGTAATATATATAAGAGTTATATCCCGAAAACAAAATATTATTTAATATAATACTAGAATAATAAAAGATTTAATTCACCTTCAATGCCAACAATCAAATAATATTAAATTTAGACTCAGCAAACGTTTCTTTATGTTGCGCTAGTAATCAATTAATACTTAAAATATAGTTAAATTATTGATATGTAGTTAAAGCTATTAATGACGGCAAAAGAAATGGTGGTATAAAAAGAAATAAACGTTACAAGGTTTTAAGTGCTCCCAGTATAGGCAGCGAGATAAATAAAACATGTCTAATAGTTCGTGTAAATTGTATTACATTATTAAAAGAGGCTTTTAGATCTAAATATGCTTTTAGATCTCTCCATCGCCTGTTTGCGTTTTATATTAGAGTAGTTTATGGTTTATATATAATGGTAGAGTTATAGAGAAAGAGTTAGACGGTTGTGCTTACTTGAAGAGCGACCGCCTAACTCTAACCATAGGATACGACGTCTTAGCGAATATTATATACACTTCATTTTACTACTTGGGCATATATTTTAGTCGATAAATTAGAAATAAATAACAATAAGTTGGAATAATTGCACTCAAATTCAAAATCATCATTCTTTATCATTAGTTCGTAGAACAATGAAACGAAACAGACGAACAACCAACAACGAAACAACAAATATCGTTAAGATGTCTTATCCTATGGCTGGAGATTTAGCTAGGAGAGTTAAGAGGTCCGTCTGCTGGTCCACGCGACGTGAGAATCTAAGACAGTTGTGGTAAAAACTGTAATCATTCCCAGGCTAGAATTGTTTGGTGCATTACTTTCGGCATGGTTAAGTGTAAAGGTGGTAGAAGCACTTCGGTACCGTATATTTTTTTTAATGGACTGATCCAAGTAGTTTTAGGGTGGTTGATTCTCAGACATGTGATTTGAAAGTTTTTGTTTCGAATATAATTAATGAAATTAAGCAATTAATTAGTTTTCATACACATGCTAATCCAGGCGATATAGAATCTTGTGATTTAAATTGTGCTTTTATTCATTCATCCAACTTATAGCGGGAAGGCCTCACATTTTTGCAAAAAGAAGTATATGATTGGCCCCAGGTAATAAAATCAAAAGGGTTTCAGAGCATATTCCATTGTTAGTCTCCTGTGTAAGCAGATTTGCACTACTGCACTCAGCAACTCTCTATTATACATGTCTATGTTTAAGCCCAATCCCTTGCAGACCAGCCGTGCGATTCTGTAATATTCCAATTCCAAATTCGAAATCACTCAGGTATCGAAATTCACTTCAAAAAGCGGCATCCGCTCAATCTTGAATTAGTAATGTGACGGGTTCGATGCTTAGGCAAATGAATAAAAGGCTGCCTAAGCTTGAAAACTTGATTTACTCGTATTAGACGGTAATAAGAAAAACTGTAACAAACAAAAAATAAATATAAAACAGTTCGTATGATTACCTAAATAATATAATTAAAATAGTGGAATAGAACAAATACATACCCCGTTTCTGGGTTTTCCGTTATAGATAAAAGTCAGTAGATATTTCACCAAAATATACGTTTACATGTTTCCCATTTATAATTTATTACTTTTATACGAAAAAATTATCATGTTCTCATCAGATGATTTTAGGAACTGACATTCATAAAGAGCATATTGGATTTCTCAAAATTACAAATTACGAAAGGTGAATATTAAATAATAAATGATGTTGAAGATCAAAGACAAAAAGTTAACATGCGGATACCTAGGACGAAATAAACAGTGATACGGCGCACCGTTACAGTAATAACGTTTCGTGGCATAAAAGAAGCAAGTTTCGAAATGACATAGGAATAGAATATCTGAGACACGTATAATATAATCAATTAATTTTGTTTTGTATTTTTATACAAAAAAAAAATAATTAATAGAATTTCTTCACTAAATGATGTGAATCCGGACACATGAGTGAATTCGAATTCGGGTCTGGATTTTTACCAGAATCGCAGGGCTGGTCCAAGTAATCGAGCAAGATTTAAGTCGGGTTATTTCCAGTCCTCCGACCAGAGCTCTGATTGGTGGAAGAAGCGGGAATATTTTTTTCCATAATTCCTATCGAATGGGTTTGGTTTTTATCATTTACTTAACCAAAAGTACAGTCAAGACTGTTATACAGTATTATTACCGATTGTTCGTGTCGATTTTAAGGATGTTGACTGTAACTACGTACGGTAAAAACGTGGGTCGCACTAAATGTCTCCTGGTTATTCCTATTCCTCTTATGAATCGGAGTTCCGATCGGAGGGCTGTCATAGATGGAACAAGGTTTTAAACGAGTGAATCAAGAATAGGGCTTGTGAACCCCACAATTACGGTTAACATTCCGGTTCTTATTCTATCCTTATTCACGGATCGAATGAGAACCGTAACATCTTGCTAATTACTTGCATACTACTAATTACATCCTGTCTGATTTCAGTTTCTAGCAAAGGTGAATTAAAAATTACCATCGTGCTATTTTACTTACAAATTTATGCGCTTACGCTTGGCATGTTGCAAAACATTTTAAATAAACTTGTTAAAAACTATAAACTAAAAACTATAACTATACACTTAATGAAATATTATTAAAAAAATCCACTTTGTCCCTGGCACATTGAGATGGGATTCGAACCCATGACCTTTTGCAATCCGGGCAACTGCTCTAATTACAACAAATTTTTCTACGGAATTTCAGAAGTCGTTGAGTAATTTAAAACACTAGTAAAGGTTGTCTAAAGTAATCAAATGTTATTCAAAATGGAGGGCCTTTTGGGCGGTAAGTTAGTAAAAATACATAATTTATAAAGTAAGTATTTAGTGGCATGGCAAATAAATTATTATGTTTTATTGTTATTAATATATAGAAGATAGTTTTATACCGAAAGAACACAGAACCTATTGTATATATTACATATATATATTATTTACTATTTCAAGAGTCTACATAAAAAAAGTTTCGTAATATTTTGTTGAAACTAAATTTCTAGCAGAAGTTATCCACAGACAATATTATTAAAGTTTGATGATATTTCGTGTAACCCCTAAAATGTGTTCCAAATCTTAACATATAATAGGGATGTCGACTTGGTTTTATTTGTTTGTCCGTCAGGTAGACTGATGAAGAATAATAAATAAGTATTTTTTATTTTTTGTGTAATCAATAAATTACCTCGACACACTACAAAACTGTGACATAGCGAGCCGTCACTCCACAACTTTAATGCCTATATCTAAGCCATTTATTGTTGTAATTGAAACAAAAAAAAAATATATCATATAGTTTTCTATTATCTGACTGACGGACTAAATAAAATTTGTTTTTTTTTTTACCCATTCATCATCCCTATTGTTTATTTATCACGTAGAGTGGCTGATACTAAATTATTATTTAACTTTGAATAATATATGATACTATGTTTGCCGTCTAGTTGGTGTTTCATAAAGTTAGACTTCTGATTTTCTCAGTAAGAGGTTTATTCACTTGAGATAATAACGAGATTGACACAGGTAAAGATATAATAAGGCATGTCATATCTCTATTTAGTTTAAGCGATCGAGCGACCTTTTTTGTACGGTCGTGTCAGCATCACTGACTTCAATCTTAAAAGTATTTTAACCGACTATTTATTTATTTAGAATAGTGAAATATTCATACATGTTGTAAGTTTGTCCACTTTATTTTTCGAAAATTAGATATCGGATCGTAATTATTCTTTAAAAAAAATAATAAATAGGTTATAAGTTATGTACGTGGAATTTATGGAAGCTAATATATTTAAAAAATATTCTTAATGATTAGATATTATTCGTAGATTGTATCAACACCGGGCTTTGATAATTTACGGAGAGATAATTTGTACTCTATGACAACCATTTAGCATTTTCGGCCGATTAGTAAGATCCAAATTTATAAATTCTCCGATCATTACATAGAGTCGAATTTGGTTTGCACTGGACGCATGTGAAACGTCAATCGCTTACAGATGTTGTCAAACGCGCCCCCGCCCCGCGGTGCGTCACCATGGCGCGGGCGCAGAAAAGAATGATATAACAAAGTTCTCCAAATGAAATTGTACATCGCTCAGACACTGCGTGTATTACAAAGAGAACTAAAACAAAACGCACGATGGATAGGTTATGCATAAGAACAGCGATAATTACATTCGCTCGTTAAGAACGTGTAGTCCAAACTTCATTCCATAAACGCACCACCACTCATAAGAAGTATCAACGAACGTGCCAGTTGTGTTTTGTTTCTCTCCGGTGGCAGTGCCATAAGTGAATACGTGATTTGAATATTAAACAATAAATCGATACTAGAGAGCATCATGCACGATACTATAAGTAATCAGGTATGTACATACAAAAGTAAACTAATGTCATATAAAATTGTTGAACTTTGCTACTCAATATTTCACTGAGTCGATAAGTATTATAAACGATCGCATTTTGTTGACTCTAATATGAATGTGCAATCTCGTCGATAAAATTACAATATATTATTAGTCATGCTAACAAAAATGTATAGAAATAACTCTACGTGTAGTGTTAGTAACTGTTTAAAAGGTATTTCAAAATACAATAATTTCTACATGCTGTGTAGGGAATTAAATATAACTTATATAATTACTGTATTTTATTTTAAATTAATGAGCTCAATGAGAAATGCCATCAGAAAAATATGACGCTCTTTTAAAAATAACAAATGTATGCTATTTTAAAAGAATGTCATTTGTTTCTAAGTGCAATCCCAAATGCAGTCTTGAAATATATTATTTATAATATTAAAAACTCGTCCACCACCTACATGCTTTACTAAATAAAAAAGTTTGTACCTACTATTAAATATTTCCATCGCGTTAGCATTTCCCGTCCAATGCTGGCAACCTGTTCCCTTAATGTCTTATTCTATTTCAAAAGCAAGTAGCTTAATGTGTTATATTAATATAATTTAGCTGTTTTTATTTATTTGTCTAATCTAAACTTAAGATTCATAAATAACCATAATCACGACATCAATCATGCCACGCGAAATATAACATGTAATAAATTAAAATAAATTATTTATATAATAAATTATTTATTAAAATAAATTATATTGTAATAAATTATTTATTCAATTGTTTTAAAACTAAATTTTTTATCAATATCAATAAACGACGTTATCATAGGTCAAAGTTATGAACTTTGCAATCTATTATATCATATAAAACTTTGTACTTGTTTAAAGAGTAACAAACGAAATATCAAATGAATATATTAGAGAAAATACGTGTTACAGTTTTTACATAATAATCGTCATTTTATTAATATAAATATAAATTAGCATTGTGAATGCAAAATTTATCAAATATAATAATCAAAATTAATCTTCGGAAATAAAACATTTGTTAAGTAGTTTTACGTGATCCCATTATTATATTATATAAACAATTAATTGTTGATGAACTGAAACAAAGATATACACCTGTTTTACCCGAAAGTTAAACAAGTGGGTCTAATATTTTTGAGTTGCATGTAGTACACAGGTACTGTAGAGCTATTTTATTATAAAAACAGCATCATACTTCGAGCGCAGCAATGTCTTTTGCATAGAGATTCTACAAAATAAAAACTATTTCAAAATGTAATAAAAAGACAATTATACAATCCAAACATGCAAAACAGTAGACCTGGTGAAAAAGTCAGTCTCCAAAAGCTTAAGCATTAACTTTAGAATCACTGCCAGGGCTCTCCCGAATCCGATGAAGCATGGAACAATAAAAATTTACGTCATTTACGAACTTTGCAGTAGGAGCGTCGTTGACGCAGTAAAAGATTTTGTTGTTGCAATAAGTGGCTTCATTTAGGTACACATTTATAAACTGTGGTTTTATATGTATGTGGCGTATCAATTACAATGCAGAACTGTATTTTTATCATAGATATATGAAACATTTGTCTAAGAAATGCGTTTCTATTAACATGTTCGTTCTTTAACCTTGTAAGATAAGTTGTTTATGGATTGACTGTTTCATACCAAGATAGAGAGAAAAGATATCGGCGAAGTGCGAGTCGTCGCCGTGCCTTGAGGGTTCCGTGCCAGTACTTTTTCACAACTACCACAAATAACTATAGACTTGAGTATTATCGTATTCGTTGCAACTCAGTATCTCCATGCATTCCCTCAATATAGGGTCGTGACAGACTGATAGATAAACGAACAATAAAGTGATACCCATAAAAGTTCAGAATTTTCCCTTTTGAAGGAGAACTTTAAAACTAAAATGCCGAGGCACTGGACATTGTGTACATGTCATATTCATGTAAGCTGAATGTGACCTAGAATTCATGGCAATGTTATGATTAATACGGCAATGACCTTTATACAGTGTAATATTATTCCTTTTTTCCCTGGAAATTAAGCATAAGTAAAGCTTACGACTGTCGTAACTTATTCTTTCTATAAACAATGACAAAAGACTGTGAATTTATGATTAGTAGAATTTAACTCTAAGTGAATTTCGTTCGAAGAGATTTGCAGAGTAATATCTTTTTTCGGAATTTATAATGAAGTACAAAAACTGACAAGTCTTACTTGGAATTTTGTTACTGTTGACAAAAACTATTCTTTGTTATAAGTTTTATGACAGAACGAAAATCTTTTAATTTGAAATACTGCATATTTATGAAATTGTTCAGATTTTTTTTAATTAAGAATAATGCGTGATTCAGAAGTGTCTATGAACGTACGTAAAACTTACAGCTAAGTATTCCTGGGTAACCATACCGAAAGTCACAGCTGTAGAAACAAAATTTCATCCAACTCTAATGTTTGTTTCTCAGCGTTCTCAACACTAGGAGTAGAAGGTTCATTTTCCAATTGGATGAATGAAGGTTCCTTTTTCGATAGAAGTTTTTTTTTCAACATTCCCCGGTTCCGTAATTATTTCATCAGAAATCCGGAAATATACTCTTTTTTACTAATTATATGAAGTTATCCTTTCATATTTGAAGTGTATACACAAATGATTATGTTGATCTAACAGCTTAACAACTAAGTCACGCTGTCATTATATTTGCTATTAATTATATTTGCAGATAATGTGAACTCAAGTGTGTTACCGTGAACCCATTTTTTATTTCAAAATATTATTAATTGATATGATTACTGCAGGTAGGGGGTGTATTCTAAAATAATAATAAAAAATAAGTAAAATGGGAATAAAGTAAAATAAAAATATCGTATCCCATACACATGGATACAACGGGTAAGGTGAACTCTAAAATTGCACCGTGAATCCTTGTGAAATCAAAGATTATAATAAGTAGGTACCATACTGTTATAGCGGATAAGGTGAAGTCAATCGTAATAGTGAATAAACGTAAGAGATTATTATTACTACTATATACATCTTTGATAGGTAAGGTGAACTCAAAACGTAGCACAATGAACCATAGCTTATGATATCAATTTTAGTTGTTTTAAAAACATAAATCTAAATAGAAAGACTTTTGTGTGTCCAACTTCGTCGAATCCGAAGAAGATGATAATCTGCGTCGTCGTCCTTTTAACAAAATTCTCTCAAATTTCATGATTTTCTGTTTTATACAACTTGTAGAATCACTATGATCTCGTTTCCTTTTAGGCATTTTTTAAAAATTCACACGAAAATTTAATAAAAATAATATAAATACACAATGGCGGGGCACTGAAATGTAAGGAAGAAGAAGAAATGAAGTAAGGAAGATAAGTAGGAAAAAGTATCGGAATTCCTCTTAGGTTTTTATGTTTATTTTTTTTTATAATTCAACTCAGTGCATAGATGGCGTCTCTGTATATGGGACTACAATTGTATACTGCTAGTCTCGAGAACGAAACACATAAGCATAGTGAACTAATTTATTTTTTCTTGTACAAATTATTATTTAACCCATTTTATTTACTCAAAAATACTGAATATCAATATCTATTGGGCAGATACGATACACCTGGCGTTTAATTTTTAGTATGAATTCTAAAATTTCTAACACCTATACAAAGTAATAGGTCTAATATATAATACATACATACATACGTTTCCATAAATCTGACGATTGTTTTCGTTTTTAATTATAAGGTCTTTTCTAATTTCGTTGTTTGTAAGAGGCAATCATCGGAATTCAGTAATTCCGAAAGTACCTACAATGATGTAATTTATACTTTACTTAATTATATCATCTCATGAAACATGAACTTGAATGCCACAGTTTTTACCACAACAATATTACATGAGAAATAATAAAGGCCCAAATGATTTCAAGAAAATTATGGTACTTACATGTTTTTTGCTCAACTTGGCGAGGAGCACTCCGGTGCCTCAGATTCAAGTTTTTTTTAATGAGCCTATAAATTTAAATCCTGATATTGAAAATTATTATTGATTTAGGGTTGTTCGATTTCGTTTACACCTGCATACATCATATCGAGAAGAATATATTTGGCTCATTTTTATTTATTTTAAAATTTTAAATCTCATTCTCGCCCGCCTTGTCACTATTTTTAAGTGATGAATGGGATAGAGCGATGCACCTCAGGGTACACCGATTCTTTCATCAAAATAGTATTTATTCAAATAAACTTATTTATTCCGAGTACCTACCTACCTACCTGTAGCATTATATGAAAACCATTCTTAATAAAAATCATTTTTCATTTGAAATTGATTACTTAATGTCCTAATAAAATTAATTTAAAAGTTGTAATTACAAATTAAACAACTACGTCGAAAAGTCTGAAATATTCATTTAATTACATTGTAAATTCGGGCTATCGACACATAAACATATTATTCCGCTTTAATTTTAACCTTTCATCAGTAATGTAGGCACGAGAACTTAGGAGACACACAGACAGACTTTATTTCGCATTTTTAATATTAAGTATTGATTTCCATCAAAGCAGACATAAAATGTTGTTGGCAAATAAAATTTTGTACAACAAAGACCTATTCGCAAACTTCCTCACAAATGCTCGAAGTTAAAAGTGTAATAAGAATGTACCTTGTTAATTTATTGCAAATAATGATTGAGTACACTTAAAACTAAGTTTTGTTTCGTTTTAAGTTAAAGATCCATATTATCCGCACGTACACACGGCCGCACGACACGCACGGGATTTTCCATATCTTTGTATGATTTTGTATCGCACTCGGTCCACTCCACTCCAGTCGCACCACTGACACGCAAAATATGAGCAATGAAATTGCTTATCGTGATGAATTGAAATGATGACATACGGATTACTTCCATATAGCTAATATACATAACTTCACGACGCTGTTAAATAATAATGTGTCAAAAATATCAACATAATTCCGATGTCTAAACTGAC